ATTCTTGATTAAAATCCCTGGGGTCCAATGTCCTGTATCCACAGGAAGCAGATGTGGTATAATAGGAAGAGTTCTTGAATTGGGGCAATCTGTTACTAACAGCAGGTACCTAGTGCCCAGTATGATTTAAATGCGACAGTCAGAGTCCGAGAGTTAAAAAAAAATGTTAGAGATGACTTTCTGGGGTATAACTATAGAGAGGTTCTCAGGACAATAATAACATCTGATATTTATATGTCACTCTAGAATTTACCGAGCCCTTCAGATAAACGATTTAATCAATTCAAACAAAAATCCTGTCAGGTAGGCGCTATTATTATCATCTCCATTTTACAGATGAGGAAACTAACACTGAGGCACAGGATATACACATGCATTTATTAGTAGAGAAGCCTCATTTGAAAATGAGTTTTTGGGGGCAGCTAGGTGGCACAGTGGATAGAACTGTAGCCCTGAAGTCAGGAGGACCTGAGTTCAAAAATGACCTCAGACCAAACACTTGACACTTATTAGCTGTGTGACCCCGGGCAAGTCACTTAATCCCAACTGCCTTTAAAAAAAATGAGTTTTGGGAGCAGGTAGGTGGACAGAGTAGATGGCACTGGCTAGATGGCTTGATAGATAGAGCAGTGGCCATGGAGTCAGCAGAACCTGAGTTCAAATGTGGCCTCAGATACTTAGGAGCTGTGTGACCCTGGGCAAGTCACTTAATCCTGAGTGCCTCCAAAAAAGAAAGAAAGAAAGAAACTGAGGTTTCTCGGTTTCCTCATCTGGAAATGTTTCCTCGTCTGAAAACAAAGGGGTTAAACTGACCTGGTAGCGTCTTACAACTCTAAATCTACATGATCTGATGATTTCCATTACACAAATCAAGAAACCAAATTACACAAGGACTCATGACGAAAAATGGCATCTACCTCCAGAGAAAGAACTGATAGTCTGAGTGCAAATCAAAGCATACTTTGTTTTACTTTCTATATTTTTCTTGGTGGGTTTTTGGGGGGTTCTATGTTTTCTTTCACAACATAACTAATATGGAAATATGTTTTTCATGACTGCACATATATAATCTGTATCAAATTGCTTGCCTTCTCAATGAGGGGGGAATAGGGAGAGGGTGGGAGAGAATTTGGAACTCAACATTTTTTTTAAAAAAAGAATGTTAAAAATTGTTTCTACATGTGTTGGGGAAAAAACAGATTAAAACAAAGGAAACAAAAACACAGAGTGCTTCTGTGACTTCCAGTCTTAGTTATGTCTAGAGGTGGGTGCCTATTTTGGTGAGAGAGACCACACCACAGAAGGTTGGTTGAAGGAACTACCATGTTTAATCTAGTAAAGGAAGACAGTGAGAAGCTGCTGAGGCAGATTTTGGCTTATTTTGTCTCAGCATGTTTGTAAAGTGCTTTAAGTAGGAAGAAATGTCCTTATTGTCCCAAGGTGAATGGGCTACCTAGGGGGGAGGTAGGTCCCCATCACTCGATGTCTTCCAGTTGAGATTGGATAACCACTTGTTAGGGATGCTGAGGAGAGCATTCCATTCAAGGAGGCGCTTGACTGGATGCAATTCAATCCAAATAACATTTACTAAACAAGGTCCTCTGATGGGCACTGTGATACCAAAGGCAAAGAGGAAAAACCCTCAAGCACCTTATGTTCTCCTGAGTGGATACATGTATAAACAAAAGTAATTACAAAGTAATTTTGAAGGTCTGGAGACCTAACAGCTGGGAAGAGAGCATTTTGTGGGAGGTGGGCACCTGAATTGTGGTTTGAAGGATGCTAGGAATACAACAGAAACAGCTAGTAGGACCTCTAAAGTCCCTTCCTACTCTGAATTGCTATGGCTTGCGTAAGGTCACTAAGTAATAAGTGGAAGGGCCATGATTTAAACCCAGGTCTTTGGACCCCACTTGTAGTCAGCTTCCTCATTTGTAAAATGGGAAAGCTAATAGCACCCATCACCCAGAGTTATCACAAGGGTAAGAGATCATATTTATAAAATACTTAGCACAGAGCCTGGCACATTGTAGATGGTTATGTGTGTTTGAAAAAACAAAACAATTCATTCCTTCAACCAGTACTTGTAGGGCACAGTCTCTCTCACCATCCCAATCATTCTCATCCTCTTTTGTGCATATTGAGCATCAGAAGTCACCCAATATTACAATTTAAATTAAGTGACTTTCCCCAAGGCACATAGGTTGCAAATAACAGACAGGCTTTAACTTCTTCCTCCATTTTCATTGTGCTACAATATGTCGCCCCTTTATGGAAGAAGGCAGTCAGGTCGTAGGCTTCTGTTCCTGATTCTATTATTGGCTGGCTATGTGACCTTGAGCAAGGTACTTTCCAGCTGGGTCTAGGTTCAAGCATCTCTAAAATGAGGGGATTGAACTAGATAATCTCTAAGGCTCCAACAGCTCTAATTCCTTGTTGAACCAACTCTTGTCTCTGCAACCAATTTGGCTTCAGAGATAGACTTGGAGCGACAAAGCTGTTGTTGTTCAGGCCTTTTAGTTGTATCTGACTCTTTGTGACACCATTTAGGGTTTTCTTGGCAAAGATACTGGAGTGGATTGCTATTTCCTTCTCTAGTTCATTTGACAGATGAGGAAACTGAGGCAAACATGGTTAAGTGACTTGCCCAGGGTCACACAGCTAGTAAGGGTCTTAGGCTGAATTTGAACTCAGATCTTTCTGACTCCAGGCCCAGTGCTCTATCCATTGAGCCACCGGCTGCCTCCATCACTGGCAGTAGCAATAGATAACTAACCTGTACTGAGGCTACACTCACTTCATGATATGCTGAACTAGGGGCTAACAGAATTAGAATATTGGATAGGAGGGGTATTATAATACATGGGGCAGCTTGGTGGCACAGGGGATAGAACTCTAACACTGGAGTCAGGAAGACCTGAGTTCAAATGTGGCCTCAGATCTTACTAGGTGTGTGACCCTAGGCAAGTCACTTAACCTGGCTTGCCTCAGTTTCCTCCTCTGGAAAATGAGTTGGAGAAGGAAATGGCAAAGCACTCTAGGATCTTTGCCAAGAAAACCCTAAATGGTGTCACAAAGAGTCAGACATGATTAAAAAGACTAAACAACAAAATTAAAATGTATACACCTTCCATGTATTATAAGACCCCTCCTAATTGACTTTCATCAGACCTTTAGTTTCAGTGTTACTGGGAAGTGTGGCAGCTTGAGGAATTTTTAAAAGGCTGAGCAATTGTAGCTAGTATGATATTTGGAAGAGGGGCATCAGAGCACACTTAGGAGGTCTATGGTTATTGAACGTCAGGGAATCAGGAAAGAAAGAAAAAAGAGCACCTGATGATGTGGCCAGCTTTCCTGCAGATGGGAAAAGCAATCACTGTTGAACATTTTTTTTTGTACCAGGGGGGAAATAGAAGTGGTTCAGATAGGGTCTGCATGAACGAACATCTGTTAGACCTTGCAAAATCTGCTTTGACAAAATCAATTCAATCCAACAAACTTTTTAAAAAGTACCAGCTACAAAGTTGGAAAACTTCACAATTTCTTCTGCCCAGGGAGTTTATAATCTAATGGGGGTGGGCTATACCAGCATAAGCAAATAAATAAAGATACAAGGTAAGATTGTGCCAAAGGCATAGCAGAGATCTGGGCAAAGTGTGAGGAACGAGAGAGGGGTTGGGTCACTTTTAACTGCAAAGAAATGGTAAGGCTACCTTGAGTTGGAAACTGAGCCTCACCTTGAAGGAAGAGAAGGTTTCAATAGACAAATATAGAGAAGCAATCCATTTCAGGCATGCGGTCTACCCTGAGCTAAGGCCCAGAGGTGGCAGATGGACAGGGCAAGATTGGGGAATGGTGAGTAGTCCAGTTTTGCTGGAAGATATGGAAGTGAATGATACCAACAAATTCCACTTCCCCACCTTCCATCTAGAAGCTTATCTTAGACTGGTTTAGCTCTTGAAGCCTGAGTCAGAACTTGAGGGGGTAATGAAATTCTGCCCTGATTCAGTAGGTCTATCTGGGTTCTAGACTAACCAATAATTTGGAGGCATTTTGTAAGGCTAGAGGTCAACTCTGTCATTTGAATCTGCTTCTAAAGCAGAGTGTTCTTAACCTAGATTCTGTGAACTGTTTTTTTTAAAAGAAAAGACATTTTCGATCGTTATATTTCAACAGAATTGGTTTCTTTTGTAATCTTATGTATTTTATTTCAAGGGTCTATAGACTTCCCCAGCTGCCAAGGGGTTCATGACACAAACCGGTCAGGGTGGTAATAAAGTGCTGGACATGGAGACAGGAAGCCTTGGGTTCGAATCCTGCCCTCTGATATTCTTAACTGTGTGTTAATAAGCAAGTCACTTAAGCTCCTCTCTGAGCACCAGTTTCCTTATTTGCAAAATGAGGTGGTCAGACCAGATGACCTCTGAGGTCACTTCTAGCTCTAAATCAAGATTCCTAGTCTCCATATGACTGAAGCAGTCTCGTTGGGTCCCAGGGTCACTGGAAAATCTGCTCAAGTGTTGACCCAGGCTTCTAGTTGGCACAGACTAACCTGGCCCCACCAGAGGGCTTAGCATTGGGAATATCAGTGGGAGAGGTTCCTCTCTCAGCCCCCCTGGAGTGACTGTGGCAGGTTTGAAGCACACAGCTGTCAGCAGCCGCAGCTGATAAGCCTTCCCAGACATCAGATAGCTGTGAAATAACATTTTGATGAATTAAGTGTAAAACGAATCACGGACATGTGGAATACATTTCCCCCCCCCTCCCCCCCACTGCACTCAGGATTCAGAATTTACGAGGAAAAGTATTTGGCCACGCTTGCCAAACCCTGGAAGCATTTGAAAAAGTCCAGCACGAGATGCTGGAGACCCGCTGGGTTTGCTCAGGCTTCCTCATAAATAGTGGTCAGAAAGAAATCCCTCCAACCGTCCTAGGCAAGCTGAGCCGGGCCGTCTGCCAGGGTAGCTAGCTAAGGGAGCTGGACTCTGTCACTGGCTTACCCGGTCCATAGGCCAGGAAGATCCCCCGCATGTCCATGAGCTCATTGTCATAGCCGTGCCATCCACGCTGCCAGCCTTCCCTCTTCCCCGTGCTGTTCATCCAGAAGGGGAGCGTTTCTTTTTTCTGAGGATCAAGCAAAGGGAACACACACCCACAATTAGAACTGGGGAATCTCAGAATGGACAAGGCCCTCAGAGGTCAACTAAGCCAACCCACTGCTGGAAGCAAAGAGGGTTTCTTGCATATTCCTAGAGTGGTCACTAGGAGCTAGATAGTAGAATGAGTAAGATGGCTGGATGTGGAGGTTAGGAAGACCAGGGTTCAAATCTTGCCTCAGACACTTAATATCTGTGTGACTTCGGGCAGGTCACTTAACGTGCCTCAGTTTTCCTATCTGTAAAATGGGGAAAATAACTAACTCACAGGGTTGTTACGAGGACGAGCTAGGATAATATTCATAAAGTACTTTACAAACTCTAAAGGTGTACATAAATGCTAGGTGTCATTATTAATCAGTCAACGAGTATTTGTTAAGTGATTTCTATGTGCCATGCACTGTGTTAAGTGCTAGGGCCATAAGGCTGAAGGAGCTAAATTGTAATGGGGGAGACAAAGCTGCAAACAACTATGTGCACACAAGTTATATAGATACACACACAAAATACGTAATTTTATACACACGCACACATGCACACACATATAGTATAGAAGGAAGGTGTTTTTGTTACAGGTGGTGCAGTAGGTAGAATGCTGGGCCTGGAGTTGAGAAGATGCATCTTCCTGAGTTCAAATTTGGCTTTAGATACTTACTAGCTGAGTGACCCTGGGCATGTCACTTAAACCCGTTTGCCTCAGTTTCCTCATCTGCAAAATGACTGGAGAAGGAAATGGCAAACCACTCCAATATTTCTGCCAAGAAAACCCCAAATGGGTTGGAGAGACGTAGCCACAACTGAAATGAGTGAACAGCATATATACGTGTGTGTGTATGTATACGCAGGTACAATATCCATATCCACATGCACACATTTTATATACATTAGGTGTATATATATATATATATATACATATATATATATATATATAAATACTTATACATATACATATGCTATAGGTGGAAAGTTTTGTTGTTGTAGGTGGTGCAGTGGATAGAGTGCTAGTCTTGAAGACAGAAAGACTTGAGTTCAAATGTGGTCTCAGACACTTACTACCTGTGTGACCCTGGGCAAGTCACTTAACCCTGTTTGCCCCAGTTTCTTAGGAAATGGCAAACCACTCCAGTATCTCTGCCAAGAAAACCCCAAATGGGGTCACGAAGAATAGGACATGACTGAAAAATGCCTGAACAATAAGGCTCCATGTTACCTCTAGGACAAAAGATAGACTCCTCTGTCTGGCATCTAATTCTCCATAGGCCCCAAAGAACCTTTCCAGGCTAATTCAACATCACTGTCCTTCATGAACCCTCAGATCAGCCAAACCAGCCTTCTTGCTGTTTCTCACATATGACACTCGTCTCCCATTTATGTGGCCTTGCTCAGGACGTTCCCTCCCATGTGGAATGTGCTCCCCCTTCATCTCTGACTCTTAGAGTCCTGAGTTTCCTCAGCTCAAATACCACCTCCCTCCCACCTGAGTGTTTCCTGATCCTCTCCAGCTGCTGGTGGCCCTCCCCACCTCATTACTTTGCATTTATGCTGTATATATTTTGGACGTATTTATATGGGTGCATATTTATATAGGTCCTTCCTTTATAGATTACAAGCACTTTTTGGGCAGGGAACTTTTTTTTTTAGTTTCGCCTTTAAATTCCCCAGTCCAGGGATACCTCACAGAGTCTGGGCAAATAGTATTTCAGTCATTTTTCAGTTGTACTGACTCCTTGTGACCCCATTGGGGATTTTCTTGGCAAAGATACCTAGAGTGGTTTGCCATTTCCTTCTCCAGCTCATTTTATAGATGAGGAAACTGAGGCAAGCCAGGTTAAGTGACTTGCCAGGGTCACATAGCTAGGTAAAAGTCTGAGGCCAGATTTGAACTCAGGAAGAGGAGTCTTCGTGACTCTAGTCCTAGAACTCTATCCACTGTACCACCTAGCTGCCCCCGCATAGTAGGTATTAATAAATGCTTGTTTGATTGGGACTGTTGGTGAGACAGCCTCTGTTTGAATGCTTGAAGTGACAGGGAGCTTACCACCTTACCAGGTAACCCGTTCCATCGTTGAACATCTTTAGTTATAAGTTTTTCTTATATTGACAGAAATTCTGTCTCTCAGTATCAGAGTATTAGTGATCATCTAGCCCATTGTACAGATGAGGAAACTGAGAACTGGCTAAGTGGAATGACTTGGCCAGAATCACATAGCTAATGGTAGGACTGGAATTGGAGCATCCACATCCTGGCTTCCAGTCCAGTGTTCCCTCCACTCTCCCACACTGCCCTTCACTTCTGCCCTCTGGAACCACAGAGGACATTCCTACTTCTTCCTCCACATCCTAGTTCTTCGTATGCCTGAAGATGGACACCATCTTTGGGTTGAACCTCACCAGTTCCCATAATAGGTCTTTGTTGTACATAGTTTCAAGACCTGCTCACCATTCTACTTGCTCTCCTCTAATGTCTAATAGTTATGGCTGCTTAATTATTTATTTATTCATTTATTTGTTGGTTTGTTCATTTATTTATTCATTTACCTATTTATTTATTTGTTCACTTATTTATCTGTCTATCTACCTATCCATTTATTTATTCATTCATTCATTCATCTATCTATTTATCTATTCATCTATTTGTTTGTTTGTTTTAGTGAGGGGATTGGGATTAAGTGACTTGCCCAGAGTCACATAGCTAGGAAGTATTATGTGACTGATGCAGGATTTGAACTCAGGTCCTCCTGACTCCAGGGCCGCTGCTCTATCCACTGCGCCACCTACCTGCCCCGGATGCTTAAGTATTAGTGAAACAAAAGCAATTTTAAGAAATCTTTGAACCCTCTAAGAAGATCATAAGGAATGTGGTACATTTCTAGCACATTCTACTTTAGATAGTTTCAGTTTCACTGATGCAGGGAACCAAAGTGATTAATCTTGATGGCTAAGTTGGGGACTGATAATCTACTATTTCTTGGTGTTCTCTGTTACCTAATGGCCAGTGCTGCCATTCTTCTCTAGTTGATTCAACCAATCAATCAACAAACATTTCTTAAGCACCTACTATGTGCCAGGCATTGTGCTAGAAGTTGAAGATACGATGGCAAAAATTAAACAGTCCTTACCCTCAAAGAGCTTACATTTATTAGGAAGACAACGTGCATGCGTGTGTGTGTGTGTGTGTGTGTGTGTGTGTGTGTGTGTGCGGAGACAGACAGAAAGACAGAGAGAGACAGAGGGGACAGAGGGAAAGAAGGAGAAAGGAGAGAGAGAAGGGGAGAGAGAGAGAAAGACGTAAGAAGGGAGGGAAGGAGAGAGAGAGGGAGGGAGACAGAAAGGCAGAGAGAGACAGAGAGAGGAAGGGAGAGAAGGAGAGTAGGGGAGAGAGAAAGAGATGGAGAGAGAAATACATATATAAAGAGAGGGAGAGAGGGAGGGAAAAAGGGAGGGAAAGAGAGAGAGAGGGAGAGAAGAGAGATGTGCATATATATATATATATATATATATATATATATATATATATCATATATACAGATAATATGTTCATTTTGGAGGGGAGGGTATTATCAACTAGGAGGATCAGCAAAGGCTCCATGTAGAAGGTAGCACTCGGGATGAGTTTCAAACAAGGGACACTGAGGGGCAGAACAGAACATGGAGGGTACTGCAGGTAGGGGGACCGCCAGAGACAGATAACATTCAGACAGACAACGCTAAGCTCGATCATAGCTCTTCTCGTGCCTGACATCTCTAACTCTAGTGCAGGTTATCTGGGGTGTCCGGAACAGCCTGAGTCACAGCCCTGAGCCAATGCTGACATCCCCAAATACTCTCCCTCCCTACAGTCACCGTGCAAGAGGAGGAATTCCCAAATCTCAGAGCTGGAAGGGACCTTCAAGGCCATCTAGTTCAATGTGTATTTGGCAAGAATCCCCTGTTGACCCTGCATGAAACTGAGAGAAATTATTATTAATAACCAATAGTTTGGGGAGATCCAGAATTCTTCCCTTCTTCTAAAGTCCTGATTTAAAAGTTCAGTCCCTTAAAAGACATTGCTGATAATGAGATTGGAGTAGGACCCCATCTTGCTAGGGCAGTCATTGTGTTCCACTCAGGCTTGGGTGAGGCATACATTCCTTGAATAGATGAGAGTGGTCTGGGTATAGAGATAAGACTTTCTGTCCAAGGGTGACATGATATCACTCCCATCCCCTCACTTTAATATAGCCCACTTCCAACTGTGTTAACCAATCATAGTTGATTACCATTCCTCTTCCAAAGGAACATATAGGTAGGCCCTGAGCCCATCACCGTGATTGTCTTTGGTCTAAGACAGAGACGGCCAAATGACCATCCTTTTATTAATAACATGCTGGCCTTATTAATAAAATGATTAAATTACCCAGATACTATACTCTCAAGATTACCCAAATCACTACAAGACACTGCAGAGGATCACTCCCTGAGGCTGTTTTCTTGTCTACAAAATGAAGGAGTTGGACTCAATGATTTCTGAGGTCCCTTCTGGCTCTAAATTCATGATGCCAAGCTCCTCCAAATGGTAAAATAGCACCTCCTTGAAGACCTGAAGTGCATGAGAGAGACCCAAGAATAAGCCCTACAGGGGCACATCCTGCCACACTGTCCTCTCCTCCGTTGCTACTCCAACCCTCAGCTTAACTCATATTACCTTTCACTATATTCTCTGCCTCCCTACTGAGTCTAGTCTAATCCATTCTGTACAAGTCCCAGTCTGCATTCCACCCTCTAGGACCCCTTGATAGCTAATCTAGCAAAACTGCCTATCTACTTGTACCCCTCTTCCTCTTGCTTCATAATTCACAACCCGTATGTTCTTCCACTCCCAAATCTCCCGGTTTCCTAGTGTCCCCACTGTACTGACTCCAATCATTCCTTACCAGTAATAGGCATGCCAAGACAGACTATGGTCACGCCAGCTATTAAATAAGCAGG